CCTTAGGGACGATTGTTTTATCATTCTTAAGAAACAATGCATTTATCATTCTTTAAGAATGATTGTTTTATCATTCCTTAAAGACGATGCATTTATTATTCTTTAGGGATAATTGTTTTATCATTCCTTAAGGATGATGATTTTATTATTCCTTAGGGACAATAGTTTTATCGTTCCTTAGGGATTAGTTTTATTATTCCTTAGGTAAGATGCATTTATCGTATCTAAGAAATGATGGTATTATCGTTCTAATGAACTGAATTTTTGGATTAAACTAATTTACTAAAATAATATTGATTTAATATACTATTTGAGTTTTTTTTAAAATAAAATAAAAAAATTAAGTATAAAAAATTAAATGAAAATGAATATATAAAAATTTAAGATTTAATTAATAAACTTTAATATATATATATTCTTTATTACAGAATACATTAGATTAAATCAAAAGAATAAAATTGCTAAAAAAAATGCTGATTGAAGAACAAATTGTTAATATTTTTAAAAAATATAATTTAATTTCTGATGATAAGAGTAATATAAAAGTTACTTCAGTATTTTACTCTAAAGTTTTAATCATATTTAATACAATTTTTATCTATTTAGAATAAAATAATAATTAGGATATTATTGATAAAGATACTTTTAAAGCTATAAAAAAACTAAGTAAGAGATTTATAAAAATAATTTTTTTAAAAAAAGCAAATGAATTTTAACTTATTTATTAAGTCAAATAATAGTATTGATAGTATTAATAATAATAATATAAGAAATAATATTAATAATAATATTATGAATGTTGATAATATTAATTTTAAAACTTTATATTTTAATAAACTAAACTTCTATAATTGTGAAAAAGAAATATATAATAGTTTTATTAAATATCAAATTGATAAAAATAATCTTTATAAATGATTATATTACAGATTTATAATAATTGCATTTATCATACTTAATAAAATAATAATCTTGAAATACAAATATAAAAATATTTATATACATGTTTATAATGAAAATGTTTGATTTATTTGTTATATCTATCTATGTATTCAATTTTATATAAATAGAGAATGATAAAATCATATAAATTTCAGTTCACTTTTAGTTCACTTTTAGTTTTCCTTTTAGTTTGTTTTTAGATATATATTTAGTAATTCTTTAGAGACACCTAGTCTAACTTTGCATTTAGTATTTTCTTTTAGTTATTTTAATTTCTTTATTTTCTTTCTTATTTTCTTATTTCTATTTCTTATTTATTATTGATAATAAATATATTATTATAATTCTGAATCAATTGAGTTATTTTACTTTTAATACTTTTAGTATTATTAAGCATATGCTAATATATAAATCATAAAGTTTAGTTAAACTGCATTAAAATTTACTACATAAACTTAAAAGAATCACCACTTGAACATTTTGTCTAACAGTCACAATTCAACAGGATTACACGTTAACAATATTATAATAAATTTAATCTTATGTAATCTTTTGTTAAAAATCAATAAAAAGTAATGCTTTAAAATATAATTATATTTATTTATTATATTTATATGAATATATTTTTATTAGTCTAAAATAAAATAAAAAATTATATATATTTTTAGTTATTTTGATGTCTTAATATTTATCTGCTCAATAATTGAATTAATGCTAATTGACTTACAATTATATAAAAATCTAAATAAAGTAAATACTAGTTTGAATTTTTTAGTTAAGATTATTTTAAACTTAATAACAGTTTCTGTTTTCTAATTAATCATATATAAAAAGTGAAGATTAATTAATTAATAAATCAATTTTATTATTATATAATAAAAAATATTTATTTTTTTTATGAGTTATAATATCATACTGTATATACTGTAAATTTTAAAAAAATTTGCTTTGAAATCAAACAAAAATGAGATAATTTATGAATAATTATAAAGATGAAATTTTAATAATAAAATATTATCTTTATTACCAGTATTCATCAATATTAGTAATATATATATTGATAATTTAATTAAAGAATAAAACTAAAGATATAGAAATTAAAAAACTTTTATTTTTTTAAAAAATAAAAGAATAATCTTAATAACAAAAATAATAAGAAAGTACAGAAACTAGTTAAGAAATAATGTAAATCAAAATATTGCTAAAAATATAAATTAAATAAAATATTTACATCAATCAGTATTAACAAATTGCAATATCATTTACCTATTTTTTAAATAATACAGTCAACACTTGATATAATAAAATAAGTATTTAGGCCAATTAGGCCTTCGTTATAAGAAAATTCGTTAATATATTATTATATAATTTTGTATAACATAAAATAAAAATATGATTTTGTAATTATATTGGCATTTAATGATTGAAAATTTATAAATTTAGTATCATTAGAATCATTTCATTGAGAGAATTCAAATAGTATATATTTTATATCTATAGCTTTAATACTAATAAACATATTTCATACTGAATATTTAAAGATATTTTAATTGATTTAAGCATCTAGTGATTAGATTTTTATAATTTTGGTATCATTAGATTCATTTTATTGAAGGATTTGAATAGTATATATTTTATATCTATAGCGTTAATATTGACTAAGTTATTGCAGTTTGAAATTAAATCATTTTTATAATATAATTAATTGATTAACCAATATAAATTGAGTTATAAAATCACATACTTTATTATAGTAAAAAAATTTGTTATAAGAAAAATTCATTATATTAAAAGTTATTTTTATATTTATTATTTAAGAACTTAACTTTGCATAAGATTATAGCAAATATAATTAATAAAATTTACTATATCAAAAATTTTTCATATATTAAAATCTGTTTTACACTAAAAATTCACTATATAAAAATTTGTTATATCAAGTGTTGACTGTATTTATCATTTCTTATAATAAAAACAAAGTTATTTGATATCATTTAATATTATTTTAATATTATTTCAATATCATTTGATAACACTGACATTAGTTAAACAATTAGTTTTCTTAAAAAAATTAAGCTGCAATTTATCTTTTATTAGATAAATTATCATTTTATTTGTTAATTATAAAATAAATGTTTTATTTAAAGTAATAAAATTATGTAAACTAAATTTTAAAATAACAGGCCTATTAAAAGAAAAATATTATAATAAGAGAGGAATTTGATTATTACTCCAAAAATAATTATTTATTATTAAATAAATATATAATCAAAAAATATTACTAATTAACATTATAAATAATAATTATTTATATAAGAGTTGATCAGTAGAAAAGGGAAAAATTCACTTTTTAGTCAAAAATTTTTTTATTAGTTCATTTTGCTAATCATGATCATGTGAATAAAACTGGCTTAATAACTAAAATTACTTAAAATTTGTAGATTTTTTTCTTTTCTATTGATTGCATCCTATATAGTAAACAAAATGTAATAAATAATATTTTATTTATAAAAATTCTAAATTTCTAAAATTAATAGTAAATTAAAATATTATTAAAAATTGTGAGTTAAAATCCATAAAAAATTAATAGAAAATCTAAAGAAATTAAGTTTTGGTATTTTAACTTTTAATTATTAAAGATTAAATAGTTTTAATTTTATTAAATAACTAAATATTTAAGTTTATTCAGCATTATTAGTATTTTAACTGGAGGTTGATTTAGAAAAAACTAAATTAAAATAGAAATTGTTAAATATGCTTCTAAAAAAAATTTGAACTAAAGCAAAAGGATATAAGATAAATTAATAAGAATATGTGATATTATGATATTATGAATACTAATTTAGAAGATTTATAATTAAGTCAAATTTATTTTTAAAAACTTTAAAATATATATGTCTTCTAGTGAAATATATCAATGATAAAAGAGATGAAAGAACAGTAATCATTAATTATATATGACAGAATATTGTATTTATATTTTATTTTAAAATTAATAGTTATAAATGAAATGTTTTATAGAAAGACAAAAAAGAATAATTATTAATATGAATAATATAAATACAAATGAAATACAATTTATAAAAAAAATGAAAACATATTTCTTATAAAATATCTATAGAGGTATATATTAATTTTTCTTCATTAATATTTAACATTTACTAATTTGTATATATATTATTCACAATTTAAGATATAATTAATAAAAAAATTTTTTGAAGATAAAAGAAATTTATTAAATCTTTTCTAATTAAAATCATAGATAAAAAAAATCTTTAAGAAGGATCTAAATTATCAAATATTAAATTTGTTAAAATAATGTTTATTTATTATATTTATTTTATAATATTTATATTTAGCTAATACCTTTTAAAGAAGTTACAAAAAAATTTCATAATTATCAAAAAGTATTCACATAAAATTAGTAATAATTTAAAAAATTATAATAATTAGTACTTATCAATTGTTTGCTTTATATTATAAATCAGCTTATAAGATATTTTGAATTTAATTAGAGAATTAAAAGAACTTAATAATAGATTAATTAATAACTTATCTTAATTTTAATAAAAAATTTTTAAAATAAAATATAAATTGAGTTCCATACTAAAATGGAAATGATCTGCATATTTGTTTTGATCTGCAACAGGGACCCGTTAAAAATTCCTTCGAATTTATTTTCGATTTGTTTAAAAATTTAAATTTATTAAATTTATTTCGATTTATATAATTTATATAATTTTAGTCAAATTAGTTCATAATTGCTATAATTCAGCCAAATTAAGAAGAAATTTTATTATTTGCGTTTGAAATACAAAATAGCATCCGTTGACTCAGATTTTCTATCTTCATTCAAAATATTATTATAAACAGTTTAGGCCAATAATATACTTTCCACGTGATTTATTTTATTTTTCGAAAATTTTACGGGTCCCTGATCTGCAATTTGATTGTCCAAATGAAATTATAAATAAGAAAGTAAATACCACTATCCTTTTTTTCACACTTTCTTTCCAATTTTTCATATTATATTAAACATAGAAATTGCTATATTAGAAATGTACGTAGAGATTACATCCAAGGGCATAAATATCACAACAACTGACGTAATTGGTTTTTCAAAACCAATTGATATGTCGCCAATCAAGGATGGAAGCGGAAATGTTTCTTATTACCAACGACTCACAAATACGGATCAGAGAGCCGAGCACTGGCTTCAAAGATTAGGCGCAGCTCTCGCAAATTATTTAAGAGAATATAGTAATATTGTGATCTCCAAAGGTAAATATAAAATCATTTAAATTATTTCAAAATTATTTTATAATCGATTCTTAATAACTTTTTTTATATAAAAGAAAATGAAGTTTTGGTCGATTTTCCTGAAGGATATGTCCTTTACCAACATAATAAAGAATATAAAGGCAGTGCTAAAACTCGTCATGACCGTTACCTTTTTGGTAATTACAATTTTATAAGTGTTTTATCTACTTTATTATTTTCATTTATAACTTTATTCCTATTAATAGGTGCTTATAAGTTTCGATCTCCAAAAGAATTTGAACCACATTTAATTTGGCTCGTCTCCGGGCGAGTAAATTCTTGTGAATGTCTTTATTGCGGTAGTGGTTCAAAAGGATATAATAAAGGCAAAAGGGGGGAACTCACTGAAGAAAAGATAATAAATACAAGATCAAAAAAGAAACTTAGAGATGAGGTTGAAACAAATGGAATGGAATCCGAGAATATCAATAAACCAAAATTCGCAAAAACATTATACAGAAGAGGAGAGGTTGTTATGGTTAACTTAAATGCAACAGGAAATGAACAACATATTAAACTTATAAGATATGCTGCAGATGATAATGATATACCAATTTTGTATTGGCCTGGAGTAATACTAGAAACTAGGAAAGTTCCAATAACCGATAATATATCTGACGACACGACCTCGATAAATTCTGATGATTATAATGTTGTCTATAAAGCATATTACAAAATTCATTTATTGGAATTATCTGATATTGTTCAAGTTGATCGCAAATCATTGTTGCCGTGGTTAGTTTGTAGAGTAGAAATTCCGGAAGGATTTAATAAAAATGAAGAATTAGGTAATTTCTTAAACATTTCAAAATTTCTAAATAACCATGTAAATATAAATTCTAATAAAATTATTCTTATAAAGAACCGAATGTTAAAACATATGTTCGGGCTATTGATCGAGTGAATAAGATTTCTCACACGTATACTCCAGTGTGTTCATACAAACATAGAGAAGCCAAAGATTCATCAGAAAAATTGCGATTGCAGAAATATAATGCCATCCTATTGGGAACGGAAATGATTTATAGAAATGATTACATTCGTTTAACTCCTGTAGACGTTAATGAGAAATATAATAATGGTCAAAAAGTGCCAGAATATTTGTTAATAAGTAATATCTATCAGCATTCTACAAAGGGCATCCAATTCACCGGAGCCGGATTACTAAGAGGGATGCTGTATAAAGGGCATAGTAAAAGAAGAACTTTGTCAGATTATGAGTGGATTACCGTTAATGAGCCAGGTTCTGAATATACAATAGATTTGCAAGATATAGCTGGAAGATTTTATGTATTGTTTCCCAATCTCATGGAAAAAATTGATTGGACCTCTCCAAAAAAATTAGATGAAAGGTTTATTATTCTTGGAGTAAAATGGAAATGATCATAAACTAACCATCAATAGAATATGTATATATGTAATTATTCAAATTATAAAAAACCGTATTATTAATATATAGAGTTATTTTCAGAATATTATTTGCTAAATCCAACATTAATATAATTACTTTCTAATTTAAGTTTAAGAAATATAAAATTTTAAAAGATAATGAGTTTTATTAAGAATTCAATATATTATTTATATTTATATATTCTTATTTATAAATTTAAATAAAATATATTAAATATATTAATATTTATATTTTTATAAATATTTATTTTTTAATTATTTTATTTAATTTTTTTTATAAATTTTGTTTATTTTATTCAAAATAATTTATAGTATAAAATTATAAGATTTAATTATTGATTTATTGATTTACAAATTTTATTTAAATAAAATAAAAAATAACAAAATTATTATTTAGTTATTTTATAATAAATAATTCTTAATATAAATTATATTATTAATTTCTTAAAACTAAAAAAATTAATATAATTATAAAAAATATAAATTTATTAACAATATTAATTTAAAAAAAAAATCTAAAAAAGAAGTATATTTTATAGTAAAATAGGGTAAAAATTTCAAAAAAAAATTTTTTTAAAATTAATAAAAAAAAATCTATTTAGCTTATAAAAAAAAAATTTTTTTTTTAATAGTTTTTTTTTTCTATTACAAAATACTCGCTCATATAAGAATAAAAAAAAATTATAATATATTATTATTTTTTTTTTTTTAATTTTGAATTTTATAATAAATCTTTTATTTTAAACTTTATAAACTTAAAAAGATTTTTCTATTTTAAAAATACTTCTTTAAGTATTTATTATTTTTATAAAAACAAAATTTATTAAAAAAGAAAATGATAAACTTAAATGTAAATTAATATAAAATATCATGATCAATTCTTAATAAAAATAAAAAATAATTTTTATCTTATAAATTTAATATTTAAAATTCACATTAAACTTTATTTATAATTTATATTTAAATTAATTTATATTATAATAAAATATTTATTTATAAATTAATTAAATTTATAAAAAAAAATATAAAACAAAATTATAAAAAATTATAAAAAAGATATTATATTTAGTTTAATATTATATTTATTAAATTATATAATAAAGAAGATATATTAAATTAATTTCTAATTATTAATAATATAATCATAAAATTTTATTATTTGAAATTTAAATAAAAATTTTATTAAAATAATCCTAATATTAATATTATAAAATTTTTAAGATATAATATTTTTAATAAATTAATAATTTTAAATATTAATAAAAAAATTTTTTAAAAAATATAAATTTATAAATTATAAGATCAATAAAATTATTATTAATATATTTAATTAAAAACTCTTTCTCATCGATCACTTTTCGAAAATAAAGTTTAAGAAAATAAAAACGTTCACCTCTAAAGTTCTATTATATTTTTGACTCTGTTAGTTAGTCTTATAGTTCTACAACAGCTTAAACATACTTTTACAACTAGGAAAGAGTTTACTTTAGAAGTTACTTTTATTCAATATGGTTAGAAAAAACTAAAACAAACAAGCATCATTGAAAACAAGCACCGTTTTAATCCAACAGAATACCAACAAACTTTCAAGACATCAGTTACTTCAACTTCTGGCTCTAGAGAACAACTAGACCCGTCCTCAGCTTCAGACGCTGTTCTTATCGAAAACTTTTTCAAACTACTGACTCCTACTCCACCCAATGTCTTGGACAAGAATGAATACCTTCCTATAGAAGACAACCCTAATGTGGAAATGAATTAAAACAAAGACTTCACAGTTATTACTCGTTTAACCCCATTTGCTTGCGCAGCCACTATTCCCAAAAACCCCAAGGACCTTCCTACTGCTACTATTTCAAAAATTGTTAACGCTCACTTCGCTCTTGATGACGCATTCAGGAAGATTAATGTTCGTTACATTAACCTTGTTCAGTTGATCATGATCTACTTCAATGATCAGCAATCTATGGAATCTGCCCTTAATGAAAAATTTCCCAATTTGGATATCAACCAGCTGGTTCAGTATGCGATATACAAAAAAAATATGCAGTTCCCTTAATGTACAATTCGTATTACTGATATTCATTTTAACCTCAAAAAGGAACAGCTCACCAATATATTTGCTAAATACGGTAAGATAGTTATTGTACAAATGCTCACCAGAGACCTTTGGCAATAAGCTTACATCACTTATGAAGATCCTAAAAGTGTCGATCTCTTTCATACTCAATGGTCACGCTTTATCTACAATGATTGCGTCTGAGTATACCCAGCTTGCCTTACCCAGAACAAGTTAAATAACGTAACTATTTTAGAATGAGACTTACCAATTTGCCCTTCAATACCTCTGCTAGGGATCTGCAAGATATCACCTTAGCTACTAAAGCTAAAGCCCTCTACATCCCTTGTTCAAACAATTATAAACCTCGACCTTTCGCAGTTTTTTACTTCGAAACAGAAGCAGACCTCAATAATGCCGTTAAACAATCTTTTGCATTCGGCAATAATGAACTTCAATAGTGCTCAGCTGACACAAGATGTTGTCATAAATGTGAATCTTCAGAATACATTGTCATGAAATACCCTCAAATCGTTCCTTCAGTTAATGACGATCTTGTCGATTAACCTAAAACTCCAATTTACAAACTTCTTTCTGTCCAAAAACTATACAATCGTTTTAAGCCAGCAGGGTCTAGATCTTTGATCTTAAGAAACAATGATCGCAAACCCACTCACAACCAGTTATCCCTTCCTAAAGAAATTATTAAACCTGCAATAGATAAAGGCAAAGCCAAAGAAAAAGGCCCTGCAGGTCATTCGATTGATGACTCAGCTCATAATCCCAATAACAATAACAATACGACTAATAAGAAACTAGACAGAATCCTCAGCATGCTAGTGGGTATGCAAAAGGCTATGTCTGATCTTGAAACTCACATTGCCAAGCTCGAAAAGGCTCAATCGACCATCTATACCTCACCTTCCTCTCCATCAAACGCCCTGAATAAAGGACCTAGTGCGCAACAATCTGCATCTACCTCTACCCCAAAAAAAAGAATTCGTATTGCCAATTCCTCTTCGGATGAAAACATTAATAAGTCACCTGTTCCTATTGACCTTAAGACGCAAGCATTCATCGAAGAACAAACCTCTGTCATCGCTGAACAACAGAAGCAATTACAGATCGTTAATACCCAAATGCTTAAAATTATGACTCAGATGCAAAAACCATCTGGTTCCTCCCTATAATAATTTCACCCATTACCTAACCCACAAATATGATTAATAATAATACAAATACTAATATAAATAATAATTACAACAATAAACATATAGAACATTCCACCTACAATCAAATTAATTCAAAAGGCACATCTACTATATTTTTTGCTACTCATAATGTTAATTCACAATCAAGAACCAATTCATTAACGACACATTCACAGATCTTAACATAGATTTCATAGGTCTTACTGAAACTCAACACAAATCTGACCAATCTTTTCAGTATAAATATGACCCTGAGTACACCTCTTTTTGGAACACCCGCCTTAACTCATACGCTAGAGTTAGCATTCTCGTTAAAAAATCCTGGGCTATTTACATCCAAAAAGCCTATCTAGATAATGATTGATTTATCTATATAGACTTGTATTTATCTGAACATACTAAACTTCGCATCTTCTGTGTCTATTTATAGGCTTCAACTGAATCCGATACCAAAATGGAACGGCTCAACCTACACAAATTAATCATCAAACATGTCCAAGACAACATCAGAATGGATTTTAAAACTGTTATCTTAGGGGACTTCAACACGAATCTCGATACTTACTGGTCTCAGGTTAACACTGGTAAAGCCCTATACTGATAAATAGACTTTTATAAACAGCTCTTCACCTTGAACTTCTTAGACCTTTATGATGTCTATCATGATACACCCCAATTTACTTATTACTCAGGCTCACGAAGTTCGAGAATTGACACTATTTTTGTTTCACCCAACTTCACTTCAGAATTCCTTTATTCATACCTAGAATAGCCAGTCCTTTATTTGTCTAACTATAAGATCGTTTTCGCAGTATTCTCTGATTGCTGTATGCAATCCAGTGCTCAAAGTCGTGCCTTACAAAATAAAAGACAAGTTCCTAATCTAAGAGCTATGAACCCGTCCAAATGGAATGAATTTGCTACACACACTGATTTTCATTATAGATGTTACAACTTGGATCGCCTCTCAAACCTTCCTACTAACAGATGTAATATGAATACCCTATAGGTAGAAATTAAAGCTGCCATCCTCGCTGCCAACAGATGCGTTATACCTCAAGTTTGGATCTCTCTGCAATAAAATGATAAATGACCCCTTGACCAACCCCCTCATTTTTTGCAGCCAGGAAAGTTAGTTCATTCCTGCTTCGTTTCAAAGACTCAATTTTACGAACAAACTGCTGGCCCAAACCTCTCGAATGGTCTTATATCAAGAACAGTATGGAAAAGCTGATCATTGAATTGAAACTTCCCACATATTCCTTTCCTACTGCTCTACGACCTGATAACGTCAAAGACGTACAGATAAAAATTAAAGATCTCCACAAATCCTTATCAGCAATAGCCAAAATTGAAATATAAAAAAAGAAAGAATCAGCTATCAAGTCCTTTATAGACAAGCGATGTGACAACTTACAAGATAACCCTCTAAAATGATTGCCTCCATCTTGAATCAGAAAAAACGATCTATTGTACTCGATCGACTACTTATCACGAATAAGAATTCAGGTAACAAATGTTTCACCATCGAACCAGAAGAAATCAAGAAAGTGACAATTAATCATTTCCAAAACTTCGCTGTCCTCTCAACTCCAGCGTACCCTATGCCTCCCAGATGGTCTGAATAATATAAACCAAAGGACTATATCAATGAACAACACTATTCCAATCTCATGCAACCTTCCACTTATGATGAATGGCTT